ACCAATACCACCACTTAGACCAGAGCTGATTCCTGATGCGTATCCAGAGTTGAGACCACCGGAGCCAAGACTGGAACCAAAGCTGGAGCCCAGACCAGACCCATAACCAGATCCGAGACCAGAGCTAATGCCAGAGCTTAATCCAGAACTAATACCACCACTGAGGCCACCGGTAATTCCAGAACTGAGACCAGGACTTAGACTAGTTGTGGCCCCAGAGGTCAGTCCACTAGAACTGCCAATTGATCCCGAAGATACAGTGACCAGAATAGGAGCAGATTGTGGCACAGGGATAGGTTGAGGAACAGGAACTGGGTGAGGAACAGGGACCGGTTGAGGAACAGGGACAGGATGAGGAACTGGCACTGGTTGGGGTACAGAGACTGGCTGAGGAACTGGTACTGGGACTCTCACAGGGTGGGGGATGGCTACTGGTCTCTCAACTGTAACTGGAACCGGGTGAGGTATACGAACTGGAACCTCTCTGATCACTGGGACCGGCTGTCTCACGTAATAGGGGACTGGCACAGGCCTGGACACTGGGTACGGTTGGGGGACCACTACTGGTACTTGTTGGGTGATGGTGCGAATACCTCCACCAGCTCCACTTAATCCTCCAGAGAGTCCTCCACCGAGGCTTCCTGAAAGACTGCCAGCGATTCCGCTACTCAGACCTCCCTGTAGTCCTGATATTCCACCTGACAATCCTCCACCGGAAAGCCCACCGACGAATCCTCCGGAAATTCCGCTGGAGTCGAGACCGTTGCCATAACTCGAACTGGAACTAAGGTCCAGGCCACTGGAGGATCCTCCTAGTCCTCCTGAACCTAGGATGACACCGCGTTTCGTCTTCTCTTGCTTTCCTTCCTCGGCCTCAGACGCCAGAGCCACGGTGACCAAAAGGCAAAGCTGTGCAAATGGATTTCAGCGTTGTGAATAATGCTAATTGCTCTTCTGTGAAGTGCCACGTAGACAAGTGGGAAAAGGAAACGTTGGTCTTCCTTAATCACGCCTCTGAGACTCAAAGACTCGAGATTTAATAATCCAACACCACCCAAGCTTCACTGGAGATTAGTATCGATTACTTTAGTTTACAAGGGGATTAAATGGGACTGCGGTCGTTGTGGGAATACCGTTCAAGTGCAGTTACAAGTGAATGGGGAATTATTACTAACACTATGACACAGGTAACACAGTCATGCAAGGAATTAAAATAATCGAATAAAACTTTCGTATAAAATTCGTGCTTTCCAAAATTTGATATAAAACGTCATTCAATAATTCTCACTCAAAAATTAATTTTCTCTTCTCCACGATGATCCAATTTATGAACTTAATTTTACAAACAGTCTCAAACATTTCCAAACAGTTTCAAACAATTATAATAGGAATAGCAACACCATTAGAGGTGCAAAATTTGGTACAGACTTCTTAATTGCTTTTAGTTTGTTTTCAAACAATTTCGATTGTTTTCCACTTTTGGTTAATCAAAATACCGAAGCAGTCAGTTTCTGCTAACAGAGTGAGGTTATCTTTCGTCTACTTACTACGAAGGTCCTCATTGTTGCTTGTCTTCCGAGTGCAGCTTCGAATGTGCCATCATTGTCTCCACGCCTCGGTTTTATACAAGTAGTCCAGAGGTACGATCACTTTCACTGAATCGACGATCGTGCACGCCCTGTCCAGTGGGTACTATCCTTCCAATTTTTCTCTCGATGTTTCATCCGATCCCTCTGATCTGCGGTACAACCGCAATCGTTGAAAACAAACCGATTCCGCGTTACGGGACACGCACACCATTCCGTGCGTACATCTGAACATGACTATTTAGCCTCCTATCCACACCTTATTAACCTTTTGCACTCGACGACTTTTTCGTTACAGAGAAATAGTAATTCGAAGACTTTCTGCTATAGAGTCGACGAAATTTTTAAAATGGTAAATGAGAAATCATATGCAAAATATGTGAAAATGTAAGAAATAAATATATTTTCATACAAATTGTCGATAACTATACAAAACTTCATGATTTCTGCAAACTAATACATAAATCGTAAATAATTGTATGTATACAATTAGAAAGAAAATTATAGAAAATTATAAGATAAAGAAGAAGAAATATTTATCATAATTTTATATTAATTGCAAAAGAGTTATTAACCGTTTGCACTCGACGATATTTTCGTTACGAAGAATTAGTAATTCGAAGACTTTCTGCCATAGAGTCGACGAAATTTTTAAAATGGTAAATGAGGAATCATATGCAAATTAAGACGTAGAACTATTCTTCTTCGACATTCCACACATCGTTAGGTAATTTTATATATGATATATTAATTAACGTCGATCTTTTGAATTTGATTAAATGGTGACTGACGGTTACCTCTCGACAGCAAAGGGTTAATATATTTTGATTTAATTATTTGCAGAATCAATTCGTGTTTATTAACGTCACTGAAGTTCGAAGGAAAGAATTTTTAGAATAACAAGGAAAATAATTTTCAAAGTAAAAGCTATACGTCTGATTATGTATGGCCTGGTTCTACTTAGAAGATAATGAAGAAGAAATACTTATCATAACTTTACATTAATTACAAAAGAGTTATTAACCCTTTGCACTAGACGATTTTTTGGTTTGAGAAGAGTAGAAAATAAAAGATTCTCTATTAAAGAACTGACGATACTTCTTTGAGCAGTAAATAAAGAATTGTATAATAATAGAATTACTTGATTTCGATACCTTGCACACTGTTACATTACATTAAATTTGATATATTAATTAATATCGATCTTCCAAATTTTATGAAATGGTGACTGACGATTACCTCTCGTGTGCAAAGGGTTAATATATTTTGATATAATTATTTACAAAATCAATACGTGTTTATTAACGTCACTGAAATTATAAGGAAAGAATTTTTTGAATACCAAGGAAAATAAGTTTCAAAGTAAAAGCTATACGTCTGACTATGTATGCTCTGGTTCCACTTATAAGATAATGAAGAAATATTTATCACAATTTTTTATTAATTGCGAAAGAGCTATTAATATACCTTGATTTAATTATTTGCAGAATCAATACGTGTTTATCAACGTTACTGAAATTCTAAGGAATGAATTTTTAGAATAACAAGGAAAATCAGTTTCAAAGCATAAGCTATACGTCTGACTACGCATGGTCTGGTTCTACTTATATACTCCACTTATATCTCGCTTTTCCCACGAATTCCAATTCAAACAGTTCCAAGAATTTATTATACTTTGTACTTATTTCGCTGCACACACAGACGACCGTTATATTTAGAAAGTTACGGCACAAAGGAATTACTCGTATAAATTAGAAAAGAGTTAAAAAGTGTGAAAATTTTCATCAGATGGTTACGTCGCAGAGTCGTTCACTGCATTAACGAGGGCTTGGAACTTCCTTTCCTACACGTCGCGTCGTTACCGACCTATTCTCGAAAAGTTTCTTAATCAGCAGGCGGCACTGCGTTATTAAGACCGGGGAAAAACCTTCTGTCGGGCAACTGCGAAGAATTACAACGTTTCGCGCTCAGCTCATAAACAGCGGGCTTCCTCTTAATATTATTAACGAGATGCCCGCGGAGAAATTTTCATTACGAAACAACGACGCTTTTTGCAGTAATTAACACGGCAACGATGTCAGCAAAGGAAAAATTATGCGGTTTTATGCTCCACGTTTCCATATTTCACCCGTGTTCCGGCTTCATTCTTTGCCTCGATATCGAGGAACACACGCGGCTCGGTAGCAGGTGTAGCAGCTGCACTGAGTCGTGCCATTTTGTCGTTTAAACGACAGAGAAATCCCTCCTGAATGGTCGATTCACGAGGCAACAATTTATTTTTATTCAAAAGCGCATTTCCCTGTCGCTGTTCAACTCCATTTAACTCTATGTTTCGCACAAACTCTGCGAATCTACGTGATAAATGATCGACCACCTTTTATTTTTGTTTCAGGTGAGTGAGAACTGATTCCTCTTTACCATTGTATGCCTGCACCATCGTAAGTAGAACAATCTTTACTATTTTCTTATTCAATTGCATTATTATTAACAGCAAAAAAATTTGTATTTATTAGTACTGTTTTAAGAAGTTATTATTACCGTAAGTAATAGGAAATTGGTAATTTTTATGTCAATTTTTAAAAAATTAATGTAAAATTGTTCCGTGACCAACTGTCGGTTAGATAGGGATCTGTTATGTTCACTTAGCATCCGTAGGGTGGTTAGAAACCTGCGAAACGACTGATGCTAAGAACAGTGTTCTCTACTACCTACTCCCAGTATCATAGAGGTGTAACCTGATCATCTGTTAGTAATACAGGGATCTGCGTGATTCTTGGAAGAAGAATATTTGGAAAGATGAAAGCTCAAAGAACTTCAAACTGTGCTTAGTTTCCAATAGATAGAAGCACCGTAAGAAAAATACATCGATTGTTCCTTCTGCTTCCGAACGAACGTAACAGGGTTCGATTTTCGTCCTGCCTTTAAAGAGGGGTGAAGCAGGGTATTAAAATCATGACCTGGTTCGTGTGAAAGCTCGGGAGGAGTGACGCGTAGGGATCTTTGCTGACGTAATCTCTCCCCACATGAGCTCTGTGTTGACCAATCGGCTCGAAGAACTACCATTGTTCATGTATGCACCGGTGTTTTAATGCAACCCTTCCCACTATTCACTACGTGTTTAACATCTACGATACTTTGACACGTATTTTGTTTACGTGGCAACTCTTTCGCAGAGAAATTACTCTTGAAGGTCTAAAACCTGAAGCACTAATTTGCGCATTAACTATTAAGACGCGTTAATTGGAATACCTGTCTTAATCGAAGGATTAACTGACAACGACGGGAATTAAATATCGTACAAAAATATAATTTTATCAAAGTGTACAAAAATGTGTTTATCACAAGCTTTAAAAAAGGGATTTACATATATACGGCCAACTGTACAAAATGCTTTTCCACTCTCCCTGATCCCGCTTAATGCTTCTTTATTATAATAGTACCAGCTCCAAGCGCACCAGTTCCTCCTCCAGACGAGTATCCGTACCCAGATCCATATCCAGAGCCAAGACTACTTGTCAATCCTTGCGTACCAAGGCCAGACCCCAGACTGACACCTAGTCCAGAGCTTATGCCAGAACCCAGTCCATTTCCAGAGAGGCTGATAGAACCAATACCACCACTTAGACCAGAGCTGATTCCTGATGCGTATCCAGAGTTGAGACCACCGGAGCCAAGACTGGAACCAAAGCTGGAGCCCAGACCAGACCCATAACCAGATCCGAGACCAGAGCTAATGCCAGAGCTTAATCCAGAACTAATACCACCACTGAGGCCACCGGTAATTCCAGAACTGAGACCAGGACTTAGACTAGTTGTGGCCCCAGAGGTCAGTCCACTAGAACTGCCAATTGATCCCGAAGATACAGTGACCAGAATAGGAGCAGATTGTGGCACAGGGATAGGTTGAGGAACAGGAACTGGGTGAGGAACAGGGACCGGTTGAGGAACAGGGACTGGATGAGGAACTGGCACTGGTTGGGGTACAGAGACTGGCTGAGGAACTGGTACTGGGACTCTCACAGGGTGGGGGATGGCTACTGGTCTCTCAACTGTAACTGGAACCGGGTGAGGTATACGAACTGGAACCTCTCTGATCACTGGGACCGGCTGTCTCACGTAATAGGGGACTGGCACAGGCCTGGACACTGGGTACGGTTGGGGGACCACTACTGGTACTTGTTGGGTGATGGTGCGAATACCTCCACCAGCTCCACTTAATCCTCCAGAGAGTCCTCCACCGAGGCTTCCTGAAAGACTGCCAGCGATTCCGCTACTCAGACCTCCCTGTAGTCCTGATATTCCACCTGACAATCCTCCACCGGAAAGCCCACCGACGAATCCTCCGGAAATTCCGCTGGAGTCGAGACCGTTGCCATAACTCGAACTGGAACTAAGGTCCAGGCCACTGGAGGATCCTCCTAGTCCTCCTGAACCTAGGATGACACCGCGTTTCGTCTTCTCTTGCTTTCCTTCCTCGGCCTCAGACGCCAGAGCCACGGTGACCAAAAGGCAAAGCTGTGCAAATGGATTTCAGCGTTGTGAATAATGCTAATTGCTCTTCTGTGAAGTGCCACGTAGACAAGTGGGAAAAGGAAACGTTGGTCTTCCTTAATCACGCCTCTGAGACTCAAAGACTCGAGATTTAATAATCCAACACCACCCAAGCTTCACTGGAGATTAGTATCGATTACTTTAGTTTACAAGGGGATTAAATGGGACTGCGGTCGTTGTGGGAATACCGTTCAAGTGCAGTTACAAGTGAATGGGGAATTATTACTAACACTATGACACAGGTAACACAGTCATGCAAGGAATTAAAATAATCGAATAAAACTTTCGTATAAAATTCGTGCTTTCCAAAATTTGATATAAAACGTCATTCAATAATTCTCACTCAAAAATTAATTTTCTCTTCTCCACGATGATCCAATTTATGAACTTAATTTTACAAACAGTCTCAAACATTTCCAAACAGTTTCAAACAATTATAATAGGAATAGCAACACCATTAGAGGTGCAAAATTTGGTACAGACTTCTTAATTGCTTTTAGTTTGTTTTCAAACAATTTCGATTGTTTTCCACTTTTGGTTAATCAAAATACCGAAGCAGTCAGTTTCTGCTAACAGAGTGAGGTTATCTTTCGTCTACTTACTACGAAGGTCCTCATTGTTGCTTGTCTTCCGAGTGCAGCTTCGAATGTGCCATCATTGTCTCCACGCCTCGGTTTTATACAAGTAGTCCAGAGGTACGATCACTTTCACTGAATCGACGATCGTGCACGCCCTGTCCAGTGGGTACTATCCTTCCAATTTTTCTCTCGATGTTTCATCCGATCCCTCTGATCTGCGGTACAACCGCAATCGTTGAAAACAAACCGATTCCGCGTTACGGGACACGCACACCATTCCGTGCGTACATCTGAACATGACTATTTAGCCTCCTATCCACACCTATTCTATCCGTATCCCGATCTCTGGATAGTATCGCGTGTCGTGTACGCGTAATGCTCGCGTTTTTGTCGCCACTGTAGTGTCTAGTGCGCTGCTCTTGCGAGCAGGAAGCGCGATGGCGACTTTTTTAAGGTTAGGTCACTCCGCGCCACTTAATTCGGTGGCGCTAAGATCAGTATTAGGTTTGAGAGGTACAGTGACGAATGTTGAGTATTTGGACCCCGTAGTATTTCAAAATTATTATATTACGATTATGTAACGATAATTGGTGATTTTGATACAGATTGGTCAAAATTTGGAGGAAAATTGAAATTTAAAAATTTTAATTAATTCGCGTGAAGGGTAACGGACATTCGAATACCTTTAATTGTAATATTGCACAATCTGTGTACAATCAGTGACTATAATAGAATTTCAATAAGATAGTATCTCATAAAAATAATATTTTTTGAATATATATACCACATAACTAACTTTTTAAGTGAAATTTTTGTAAACAATAGGTTTCACCTAAAAATTATTTCTTCAATAAATTGTGAATTGTATATCATGCACAAAAGTTAGCATTATTAAGGTGTGATACGAGTTTCAAGTACAGCGAAGAGCGAAACAGAATCTATACTACGTTAATATTTGAACAGCTATAACTTTGTGAGAAGGAGTCGTGTAATAACATTTGTGGGGTCGATATTAAGAATAAAGTCTGTACTTTCATATCTCTAGATTTAATTCCTACCTAGAAATTTTTGTAGTAGGAAATAAAGGCAGGTTTCACTTGGAAAATTGTAAAAATTCAAACGCTGGTAGTAACACGGAAAAATTTTTTTCGGAGCCTAAGTTATCACGAATTAAACCACTGAAATGTTCAGTTTGAAGAAACGTGATGAAAGTTAATGGACAATTTTTCATTTTTGAGTGATTACATTTTGAACGAAGAGTATACTACTGACATTATAGTAATTTAAAAAGTTAATATAGCAGAATATGTACTGGATACAGTTTTATTTACACACACCAGTCATTATGAATAAACACAAGTAAAATGCTATTTCATATATATAAAATATAGTTACGACGAATAGGACTAAAGTTCGATTAAATAGTACAGTTTATTTCAACTAAAATTACTTGGTAACGAAAAATTGTCTATTAATTTCTATCAAATTTTTGAAAACTCAAAATTTCTGCAGAGTGATTCAATTCGTTGTAATTTGGACACCGAAAAAGAATTTTTAAAGAAACTATCAGCGTTTGGATTTTTACAATTTTCTAAATGAAGAACTGTCTTTATTTTACACTATAAAAATTTCTGAGAAGAAATTAAATTTAATGGTGTGAAAGTACAGGTTTTGCCCTTTGTATTGGCCCAGTGAATGTTATTGTACGATTTCTGGTCTGAAAGTTGTCGTTGTTATAATATTAACATAGTATAGATTCAGTTTTGCCCTTCACTGGATGTAATATAAAAATTGTAAGAATTATATTACAAAAAGAAACTATAAAGAGTTATATCGCATGCAGTAAAGTGTATAATAAATTTAGCGTCGATGTAGTAATGTTCGCCTTTATAAAAGTATATTTTATCTGCATGATGGATTCCACCATTGAGAATATTTAATTAATGAACACGATAAACCTGATCGCTTCACCAAAGTGGCCGCATTTCGTACACGTTCATTATTAACTGTAAAAATTCTGGTTCCGGTAAAAGGCGTAGTAAATGTCCTTGTACCCGAGGATTAATAATAAGCGCGGCTTCATGAAAGTCTGGGCACCTGCTCGAAATAACTGGACAATCGAGATGCAACGCTTGGAGTGAGGTATGGAAAGGCACGGAAGTGACGGATGCAAAAATCGGGCTGCCAGGCTACAATCAAGCGTGGCTAATACAAAGTAGCAACTCATGGGTTCGAATTTGAAAGGGGTCCAGGAAGAAAGAGACGAATCTTGCGTCTACTTCCGCGTTAGAATATTTATATTGAGTACTTATTATTATAGCCACTTAAAGTTCGTTCAAGGCTAATTTAACATTTAATTGGCTTAATCGGCGGAAATTATCTCGCTGAGGAATTATTTCAGTATGCAAAGTATTTATATTCGAATGCATTTATAATACTGTAATTAAATCGTTTAGGTTATAAAATATTCACTCTCAGCTGTTTGCACTATTACGATAAAATTTGTTTTAATATATAAAGTATTCGTATTTGATTGCATTTATAATCGTATAATACCATTTATTTTAATGTATAAAAATTTAATATTCTACGATATTAAACAAATGTAGAATCTAGAATGATTTTTTGAAGACATTTGTCATAAGCGTATACGAAAGCAAAAGTAGAAAATATGACGAAATTCTTTTAATATTTTAGAATTTTGTTATACTCATAATCAACTGTATTATGAATTATATACAATGAAATTAAACTTTCAAATAAATTGAACATTTTATATAAGATAGTACAAAAATCATGTAGACCCGAAATGCATAATATGAATAATACATACGTCAAAATAAAGGTTCGTAATTGGATGATTGTTGAATTGCTAAAATATAGAAATTAAAACGATTAAAAGGTGTTAATAAATGAAAATATAATTCAAGTATTATACTTCTACTTAATTATACTGTAACTAAACTTCTTCGTATTAATAATCAATTAGATTATTAAAAGGAGCACTTCAATTTCAAATTTACGTAGAGAACTTCGAAAATCGTGTAGAACGAATTGAATTGCTAAAATACGAATGTTAAATCTATTAAAATATCTATTATTAAAGTCTATTAAATCTATTAAAAATTGAAACTCCAATTCAAGTATTATATTTGTAGTCAATTATATCATAACTAAAATTCTTTGTATCAATAATTAACTTGTATATTAAAATAAACACTTCAATTTCAAATTTACGTAGAGAACTTCGAAAATCGTGTAAAATGAATTGAATTGCTAAAATACGAATATTAAATCCATTAAAAGGTGTTAAAAATTGAAACTCCAATTCAAGTACTATACTTTTAGTCAATTACACTATAATTAAAATTCTTCCCATCAATAATCAACTTAAACTTTAAAATAAACACTTCAATTTCGAAATTAGGTAAAGAAATTTGAAAATCGTGTAGAACGAATTGAATTGCTAAAATACGAATATTAAATCTATTAGAAGGTGTTAAAAATTGAAACTCCAATTCAAGTACTATATTTCCAGTCAATTACACTATAATTAAAATTCTTCCTATCAAAAATCAACTTGAATATTAAAATAAACACTTCAATTGCAAATTTACGTAGAGAACTACGAGAATCGTGTAGAACCAATTGCCTAACATACGTTCCAAAAGGTATCAAAACAAACATTTGTACCTAAATCACCGAATCTTTACAATATCAGAGATAAAACCGCGAGAAAGAGGAAGAGAGTAAAAAGATGATGAATGCTTCGATCTTTCCAGTTTTTATATATCTTCACGTCTGGGTGAAGGATGCAGCTAATAAAGCTGAAACTCGTTTCTCTATGGCGTCTGAAGATAAGTAAGATCTCTTTCGGGAGTCGACGGAGATCTGTGGTCGGTGTAGGCTGAGCTATTCCTCATCCTGCAAGCAGCCTCTCCAAGAACCCGAAACCATCCTCTGCAGCATCTCGTGGACACGAGGGGTCACTTTATATTCATCGCGTATATTCCCACCAAACTACGTCTTATTCAAATAGCTACAGCTTCCGCTGTTATCTAAATAGACGTCGGTTCTATGTTCTCGAGAATGAAATTGTGGAAACAGTGGTAGAGTTGAAAACTTTGTACTTGCAGCTGATATTATATTAATTCTCATTTCTTTCTTGGTGAACATTTTGGACGCCAAAATTATTAGACCTGTCAAAATGGCTGGGTTTAGGCCCTTTGTTCTCGTATTTCTTGCATATATGCAACTATTATTTAAAAATTAATTTTTTCTCTTTCAGACCCTTTCAGGTTATGAAATTTTTATTTTTGAGATTACAGTACGAGATTACAGATATCGCAATAGCTCAGCCTGTAATTTTCAATGTTTCTTCAAATTAGTGCAATGTAGGAATTTGTTAGATATATACTCACATAGGGTATTCAGTTCTTAACACTAACGACCGGTAGCGGGTCCTATGCCCTTCTCACCGACCACTCATTGTCAGCCGCAGATCTTCCCTGGCACCGGCCCTGTTTCAGCTTACAATTAGACTGTCGCGCAGGAATATATGTAATATGGGAATATTACAGTCTTTCAAAATTTTTTAAAAATATGGGAGCTTACAAAGTAAAGCAACTACTATCTCAATACAAAGTAACAAATGCTTGCTAATTGCCATAGTAACCGATTAATCGGCCACCGGTCGGTAAAGTGTCAATTCTTTCGCTACGACTGGCATCACCACGAAGTCTCCCCCATAAAATGAAGCAACGTGTCAAAGATGGTAACATTACGATAGTGCAATCTTTGGCATTCGGTCTTTTGACGCAAATCTTTCGAAGAAAAAAGAAAAGGGAAACCTGACCATCGCAATAGAGCTTGCAATTCTTTGCGAAGAGAGCTAAGAGTAACGGCAGCACTTGTCTTAATTCTTTACTCAATTTTTGTGGCCGAGGACTATAGGCACCCGTCGTGTGTAAATGGCGTCTCGTGACCGGTGACTATAGTCACCCGTAGTAGCGAAAGGGTTAACAGTACAGGAGAATATT